ACAAAGTGTCGCGAAGACGCCAGATGAAGCAACTCAAGCAAGGCACAGATTGACGCGCGTGCTATATGCCAATTGGTGTAAGAAGCGCAGTGAGCATCGAGCACGTCCAGATCACCGTGAGAGAACAGATGGAGTAAAGAGAGGAAGTATTCCTGAGGTAAGCTTTGACTTTTGCTACGCAAGAGCAAGGGATTCAGAGACAAAGTCAGCAAGGGCAGTATGTCGGCTAGTTGCAATTGACAGCCAGACTGGATTTTTCATGTTGTGCCACTGGGAAGCAAAGGTGATGAATTTCAGTCAATTGTCGGGGTATTCAGCAATCACCTACAGGAGCGCCAGTCTAGGACTCACTACCAGATTGGGTAACTTGAAGCTTGGAGATCATTCATTTCTGTCAGAAACACAGTTGACAGGGTGAGAAAGCTTGCAGGAACTGTCATTGACGGTGTGCAGTCAAGACTTGGCATTAAGATTGGATCAGACCATGCACTTTGGACTTGGGCAACAAGACATGCCAGTTGGGTGCTTAACAGATTTCAGCCAGTCAAAGGTGCAACTCCCTATGAGCTTGTTTATGGCACAAGTTACAAAGGTCTTCTAGCGCGAAAGTTGAAAGGCCGGACACCTATGCGCTTACAGATGGAGTGCAGGTAGCGCTCAGCAAATGCGTCAGAAGAACAGATCAAGATTGGTCCAAGTACTTACCCATATATAAAGCTTCAATGCATTTTCATGGGGGTATCAAGCCAACTTCCAAGGCAGAATCATTGCCACCAAGAGAAGAGCAGAAGCATTACCAGCAGCGCAGACGGACATTCCTCGAGAACATGTGATGGTGCAGTTCAGAGATGAAGATGCAGAAGCAGTCATGGCCAAGGCACTGGAAAGGAGGAAGTGATTGAGAGAAAGAAGAACCACTATTTCCAGCCAATGGAGATTCCAGCCCCGCTGGAAACCCCTGTTGAAGCAATGAAAAGAGATGGAGATAAGTAAGAAGCAGAAAGTTCTCTTTACAGACGAGCAAACACTTGAGAAAGTGAAGGCATTTCCCCCTACATCGTTGCCAGCAGGACAGCCTAATCCAATTACTCCTTTACTATCCTCATTGAGATCATCGTCAGCACCATCAAGACCAACGGAAGCGTTTGAATTGCTCGAGGAGGAAAGCCCAATGAAGAAGCTCAGGCCATCAGATGACTCAAGCAAGAAGGCCAAGACCAACATGGTGAAAGTTGGAGGAGAGGATCTTTACCGTGTAGATGAAAGAAGGTGGAGGAGAAGAGTGGGATGATGAAGAAGATGAGTCAGATTTGGAAGAAGTGAATGGTCCTGAATGCTTGTGGTGTGATGGGAAACATGAATTCGACAGAGATCCAGAAGAATAGATAGACAGAGTGGCTGATGAAGTGGAAGAGAAAAGGTTCCAGAAAATGCAAGCGCTAGAGAAACCAGAAGGAAGCGCAAAAGGAACCAGCTACCTGACAACGTGCAATGCGCATGACTGGAGGAAGAAACCATATCAACTTGGAGATGGAATTTCAGTCAAGAGGTGGAAGAGAAGGTCAAGACTAGTTGCAAGAGAGTTTGCTTTCACTGAAGGAAAAGATGACATTTTCTCGCCAGCAACTTCAGGGCATGTACTGAAGCTTCTACCCACAATATTCTTCAAAAGAATCAATGAAGAAGAAGAGGCAAGAGAGGGAGAGCATTTTCACAGGTGCTAGGATGTCTTGATGTGAAAGACGCATTGAGAAGCCATTGATAGTGAACTTGAGAGGAGAAGAATTCGTGACGAAGAGAAATTTACGTGGACAAAGAGTTGGAGCAGAAGCGTGTTTTGACTTTTTCACAAGAGTACCTCACCGCCGAACTCAACTATAAGTTCAGTGCTGAGTGTCCATGCCTAGGAAGAAATGAGAAGAGTATCTTTTTGACCCATGTGGATGAATTGATTTTCACAGGAGATTCAAAATACATCAATAAAATCTTTCTTCCAAAACTTCAAGGGAAATTTGACACCAGTGTGAGCAAGACTGAGAAGATTGGTGACGAGTTCAATTTTCTGAGGAGAAAGTGCAATCTAGAAGTTGACGGACTATGGATCGAGCCAGGTAAGAACATCCAGCAGATGCTGAAAGCCTATGAAGAGCAGATTGGTGAGATCAAATTTCAGCAGTTACCAGCAGACAACTCGATCCAGATGGAAGACAAGTCAGAAGTCGTGCAAGAGCAAGAGAAGATTCGCCTTTTCAGAAGCGTTGTTGGTCTCTACCTATGTCAAGAGAGGTATGATGTAGCATGTACAGTGAAGGAACTGGCTTCGAGAATGTCAAATCCTACAGCCGTGTCATTTCATCACCTGAAGAAGTTCTTGGGATACCTGAAGAAGACTATGGACTATGGTCTGGTACTTGAATTTCCACAGGCAGGAGAAGGTTATGTCAAGAAAGGAGAAAGCTATTGGTGCTTGGAGACATTCTCAGACTCAGACTGGAGTGGAAACAAAAGTTACGGAAAGCCAACGTCAGGAGGATTTCACGCGTTGAATAGCTGTCCATTGTTCAACAGCAGCGGGACACCGAAGATCGTTAGCCTATCTTCGCGCGAAGCCGAACTACATGCGATAGTTTCCTCAGCATCAGGTTTAATCTACGTTCGGGCAGTTCTGGAATTTGCTCTTGGGACAGGTGGGCCATTACACCTTTGCAGATTCCTTGAGTGCACCCCAACTTGCGATGAAGAGAGCAGTTGGAAAAGTGAGACACTCGGATGGACAGTTGTTATGGGTTCAATGGGTTCAATGGGTTCAATATAGGAAAGACTTCAGCATGCCAGACCTCAAACCTCAACACAAAGCCACTTGGAGCACAACGAATCAGATATCTAATGAACCTCACTGGGTATTGTCAAAGTGAAGACCAAACAAGAGTAGGAGAACGCGAGAAAAAGGTGTATGAAGAGAAAAAGAACTTTGCAGGAAAGGTCAGCAAAATGCGAAGATGCTTGTGAGTATGGTAGCGTTAGAAGGCTTGCAGCCAATGGTTACGGAAGCATTCCTGAAAGAGGAAGATGTAAATTTGGAGATATGGAGTTGGAGGATTTGAAGGAAGCCAATGACAACTGGAAATTTTGGATTGCAGTGATCATTGTGATCAAAATCATTGGTTTTGCTGCAGTAATCTGTGCACGACGGAAGCTCTACAAGCACATTGAAAAGCCATATGATGACATGTTTTATCGAGTTGAAAAGCGCTATTGGGAAGCCTGGGAACATACAGACCACAGAACAGACGACGCAGAGTTCCAAATCACAGAAACTTACCAATGAAATCAGAGAGATTGAGCGCTATGAAGAGAGCGTTGATCAGTTACACAGCTATGCCAGGAGAATTCCTTGTGGATTGATTCCCACTTTACTGAACACGAAACACTAAACGTTCCAACTATCATCGCTTATGATGTACTACAATAGTTAAATGCAGGGAACTTCTTAGCCAGAAGGAGCTTGGAAGATATGCAAGCATCAGAAGGACATTTTTGGGGACGCAGAGTGATGCTGAAGGCAGCTACAGTTGGAGCAACGCCATCAGAAAGACCATTGAACAGAATGTTCAAGATAGGACACAGAGAAATATCAATCAGAGAACAAAATATCACAAAACAGGCAAGCCAAATGTGTGGTCGACTTGAATCAAAACTTGGTCAACTTAATGAGAAGCATTGGAACCTGATGGGCAGAGGACATCAGGAGGCAGCAGATATGGTAGAACAGGAAATGGAGAAGTATCAAGAATTGTTTGTGCAGTCATGAGGAGAGATTTTCCAGATAGACCACAAACAGAAATACCGCCAATCTCTGGGAACCCAGTTCCTTAAAGAAATACTAAAGCTTGCAGCGCGAGAAAAGAGTTGAATGGAAGAAAATGGACTTTGGTGGCAAAGTGAGCTCAAAGAAGCATTTTAGAGTCTCACGTCGCCAAGCAGGAGTGCGAACCATTTTCCATAGGACTCGGTGTGTATAAGTTTGACATCATTAGCATCACGATGTGATAGATCAGATTGCATGTCACGGAGTTTCCCCTTGATGCAGCCCTTTGTGAGTATCGAGACAAGTGCGTAAATTTGCAACCATGTCTTCACCTCCCTGCACGCAGCTCATGTGGCAAACTTTATGGTACTTTAGCAACTTGAGCCAGGACTAGTCCTTTCATGTCCTTTCATACTCGGTGAGAGCTTTCGTGAGGTGCAAGCTTTTAGTTGGAGGCTGGAACCGTATGTTGCATCTCCGGAAAGCAACTTTAAGAGTGACTTCCAGGAATTGAGGCACCATCCAGAATGTGAAGTAGATTCTACGAAGTATTTGCCTCTGTATGGGCTCCTTTGGCCTCGCTGGTGAGACAGATTCCATCGGCAGTGATCAAGCATGTGAGAAATGCTTGTATCCTTGAGGCTTACAAATGTTACAGATGTTTGATCCAGAGCCTGGAACGTGCCAGTAAGAATCAGGCATCGGGACTATTTGAGTGCCAAAATTGTGGATTGGGGCTTGCTTTAATATGAAAAAATGTTGAACCAGCTGTCAGCGAGGCAGTTCTTTCTCTCTATTTATTCTTGGGTGAGTCTTGAACCAGCTCTTCTCCTCAGTGTGGGTTGAGCCGCTGCTGTAGCTGCTTCTGCCCCTTGTGCCATTCTCAAAGCTAAGTCCGCTTCATTGATGCCGCCAGTAGGGATTCTGCTCCAGTAGTCTTTCCTATCATCCTTCGTGCCTCCCGGTTCAAGCACCTCCAACGTCTCCTGGATAAAGATGCGATTCAAGTAAGATTAACAGCACGGCAAAGCAGAGGTGGCCGCGCACAGGTCTCGCGGGACAGGGTGTTGTTCCCAAGATCCAGTAGCCTCACCTCAAGCATAGTGCTTACGTGTATCTTTGGCAGAACCAAGGTGAACATTAATAAGGACATTGACATGTTGTGTGATTGAAAGAGTGATTTGTGAGCCAGGACTTGTCGAAAGAGAACGAGCGCTTGCGGAAGGCTCGAAGCACAGCTGGCAAGAGGAAACAGTGTTGTTTGACCAATTTGCAGGCTCTAGAAGGATCCTGAGTAAGAAGAAAGCTAACGAAGCCAGGTTTTTCATATAGCCAGTACTGAGCAGGAACATGCCGTGGTTGTCAGGAGCTAGATGAGCTTCGCAACAAAACGGAAGTGCAGGAGGAGGATCCTTCAGACTGTGGAGATAATGATGGGAGGCATAAATAGCATCTGCTGTGATATGCACCGATTTTTCCCCAAACAGTAAGGGTTCTCAATTCTTTCTTAAGATGTGTCCGCCCTTTGTGTCACTGCTGGTATCCGCCCTTTTCCGCTGGCCACGTAGCATGTCTATTCATTTGTCTCCCAGGTCTGTCACTGCTGGTGTC